CAAGCGTACGGTGCGCACAAGCACGAAATGCCTAGGGAATATATCTACAAAGATCGACGGTGGTGCTTTGTCTGACCGGCATACCCATGGCCGTCATCTACGTTTTATCAAAGCCTATAATGATCTTACTCGGAGAACCGCCGGCGGTTGCGTCCGCCGCCGCAACCTTCGTCTATGGCCTAATCCCACAAATCTTCGCTTACGCCGTCAATTTTCCCCTCCAAAAATTTCTTCAGTCGCAGAGCATCGTGACCCCGAGCGCGTACATTTCCGCCGCCACTTTGGTGTTCCACCTGCTGCTGACATGGGTGGCGATGTTCAAGCTGGGGATGGGTCTGATCGGCGCGTCGCTGGTTCTAAGTCTGTCGTGGTGGATAATCGTGGGAGCCCAGTTCTTGTACGTAGTGGCGAGCCAAAAGTGTAAGCTGACATGGAATGGGTTCAGCTTACAGGCTTTCGTCGGGCTCTTGGACTTTTTCAAGCTATCGGCTGCATCGGCGGTGATGCTTTGCTTGGAAACGTGGTACACTCAAGTACTAGTCCTGATTGCAGGACTGCTCGAGAACCCAGAACTTTCTCTAGATTCACTCTCAATCTGGTAAGCTTAAATCTTAACTTATATATACATACATACATATATATATATATATGCATATAGATACACGCACATTATCATTCCATTCGGTTGAGTTTTTGCCAAAAGCTCTTTGTTGTTTTAATATTATTTTATTGTACTAAGAAACAAAACCTGGTTTTTCTATGGTTTGCTTGTTTATGGCTTTTGGTTTTTCTTTTATTTAATTTTGTTCTGAAAATAAACAGCAAAAAGCAAACTTCTTTTGCTGCAAATATATATTGATCACGACGAAGGAGAAGAATATGTATGTATACGTATATACATATATATATATATATAGATGTTTGTGCGTGTATATATACGTATGTCTTTCACTTTGTCGTCATCTCACTTTCCCATTTGATAAGTCTTGCCATGTCCAGCTTTTTACATGTCCCAATAATTATCTCAAAGAAAGAGAGAGATGACAAATTCAAACCAAACTCAACCACAAAATAAATAATAATATTGAATTTTAGTGGGTAACAAAAAATCTATAAATCTTGTATTTTAGTTAAAATTTCTGAATTTAAATTTCGTAAAAAAAAAAAAGGTAATTCATTATTTTTAAAATTAAAATAGTTATAATAGATTAAAAATATAAAGTAAGTTTTTTTTAAAAAAATATAATTGATTTTACACTATTTTTCATTATTTTTTTGGAATTTTAAATTAATAAAAGATTAAAATAATGTGCTTTAAAATACAATATTTTAATTTCGCTTATAATCGTTCAAGAAGTCAACTTTATCATTTGGTATAAAACTTTTACTTTCCTAATTAAATAAAATGTAAAATCTCTAATTAAACTTCACTAATAAGCTTAGTTTATTTTTGCTAAAACTAGTTTAAATTATTTTTTTAAAATAATTAATTATAAGTTGTTTGCATGATGTAAATAAAATCCTTCACCTTATCTCCTTAATTAATTATCATAATTTTTTATACAGTCATAGCACATGCATGCACACACACACACACACATGCTCATACATACATACATACATACATACATATATATATATATGATGGGTTCGAATCGACCGACCATAAATTGCCATGCCCAATAATGATACTCATAATTAATGATAATCATAATTATTTCATCTATTGTTTCATACATTACATCAACTTTTTCTCTACGTGTATATATATATATATATATAATGTGTGTATATTTATCGGAATTTGTTCAGAGAAAAGGCGATGTAATAAATATTGTTGGTTATATGGTGATGAAATTAATTTCATCTTTTTGCAGCATGGCTGTTTCTGCAATATCCTTCATGATTTCAGTTGGCTTCAATGCAGCCGCAAGGTAATGACTCTACAATATTTTTATATTATCATCTTAAATAATTTCGTAACCATGTATTAAAAATTGGAGTTTAAAAAAAAAAAAAAAAATTGCAGTGTGAGAGTGAGCAATGAGTTGGGTGCCGGGAACCCTAAATCTGCAGCATTCTCGGCCGGGATGTCTACGCTGATCTCCTTCGTTTTCTCAGTGCTGGAAGCTCTTCTTGTTTTGGGACTGAGAGATGTTATTAGCTATGCTTTTACCGAAGGTGAAGCCGTCGCTAAAGCCGTCTCTGACCTCTGCCCTTTCTTGGCCGCCACAGTTATTCTCAACGGCATTCAGCCTGTTTTATCTGGTAAAATTCATTGATATAAATAATAGCTTTAGTTAGTGACAAACATATCTTATGTTTATTATATATATATATATATGCCTGCCTACTCGGCTAGAAACATTCAACTTTGGACCTTTAACAATTTATACATGCATGAACATTGCAGGAGTTGCTGTGGGATGCGGGTGGCAAGCATTTGTGGCGTACGTGAATGTGGGATGTTATTACGTTGTAGGAGTTCCATTGGGTTGTCTCCTTGGATTTAAATTTAATCTTGGAGCAAAGGTAATTAACTAATTAATTAATAATTAATCAATCAATCAAATAATTACTCATTAATCAATCCTTGATTTCATGACTGATTATGAAACAACGTATACACATGTTAAATCAGGGCATATGGTCTGGTATGATTGGAGGAACCTTGATGCAAACTATAATTTTGATGTGGGTGACATATACCACCGACTGGGATAAAGAGGTAATAATTAATTAATTAATTAATTAATCATTTAATTAAGTAAATAATTAGACGTTGATTATTTTTTT